GTCACCTGCAGCCACCGTGTCATTTCAAGTCAGAGGTTTCAGAAGAGCTCAGCCCAAAGTGCTGGGGGTGAGACGCGGTGTCCCAGGGGGGACGGGGCACCTTGGGGACTGGGTATCCCCAGGGACTGTCCTGCTTGAGGTCCTTGGCTGGGGTAGAGGCGACATTTGGGGCTGGCTCATGCTGCTGTGACAAATGCCAGCTCACCCAGCTGTCCCCAGTCCCTTCTCAGCATGGTGGGGCACAGCCAGGACACGGTGTGACAGTGGGATCGGGGTGGGACACGGCTCACAGCCACGGTGACATGCATCCTTTGCTGGAGGTGGCAGTGCTTTGGGACGGGAGGGGATCACTGTCCTCCATCCTTCCTCAGACCATCCACATCTTCACCGGGATCATCCACATCTGCTTTGGGATCATCCTGACGCTGTCAGAGCACGGGATTCCCTCCCTCCCCGTGGCCAGCGGGGTCCTCTTCTGGCTCGGGCTCCTGGTAAGCAGGGACATGCCTGCTCCTCACCGTGTGACAAGGACAGGGGGATCTCAGCAGATTGGGGGGCCAGATCCCCTCATCACCAGGGTTTCCTCTTACACCCACATGGCCTGGCTGTCCCCTCTGGGGATGGAGGGTGGGTGGGTGCAGCCCCAGACCCTGATGACTCTCCTTCCTCTGTTTTCGGAGCAGCTCGTGGTCTCAGGATCTCTGCTGGTGGAAAGTGAGAAAAGAGATAACATCTTGCTGGTAAGGAGGTCCCCACAGCCAGGTTGGTGGGGTCAAAGCATTCCCCTATTGTTTCTGTGACTTCTCCTCCTTCCAGTAGCTGGTGGGACCCCTCCACAGCCTGGATTCACCCCACAGGGGCTCGAGGGGAGGCACCTAAAGCTTGTCCCACCCTCAGGAGGTGCCCAGTTCTCTCCTCATTGACCTGAGGGTGGGCAATTCTTCATGCATCAGGGTCTCCACAAGACTCTTGGGGCCTGGTGGAGCAAGTTTTGGATGATGGGGAGAAAAGGTGTCATGGAGGGTGGCTGCTCTGGGTGGCTTCTCCAGGAGTGTAATTGACCTGAGTTCAATAATCCGGCTTGGAGGTGTCCAAGCTCATAAAGGTCCAGGAGAAAACCCCAAGTGGCTTCTCCCTTGGCTCTGTGACACCACACAGGGGGGTCTCTGGCAGGGTGGGCATCGTGCTGTCACCTGCACAGCTCCTGGCAGGAGCAGAATCCCAGACTGGTTTGGGTTGGAAGGGACCTCAAAGCTCATCCAGTCCCAACCCCCCTGCCAGCAGCAGGGACACCTTCCACTAGACCAGGTTGCTCAAAGCCTCATCCAACCTGGCCGAGAACACTTCCAGGAAGGAGCAGCCTCAGCTTCTCTGGGCAACCTGGGACACTGTCTCACCACCCTCACACCAAAGAATTTCTTCCTCATATCCCATCTAAATTTACTCTTGTCCACTTTCAACCCATCGCTCCTCATCCTGTCACTCCCTGCCCTTGGCCAAAGTCCTTCCCCACCTTCCTGGAGCCCCTTCAGGTACTGGGAGGCCACTAGAAGGTCTCCCTGGAGCCTTCTCTTCTCCAGGCTGAACAGCCCCAACTCTCTCAGCCTGTCCTCACAGCAGAGCTGCTCCAGCCCTTGGAGGGAGGGACAGAGCTGCTGATACCTGACACAAGGTGACCCACACAGGTGAAGACCTGCTGCGTCGTCAACATGGGGGTCATCCTGAGCACGTTGGTAGCCACCCTCCTCCACACCGTGGCCATCACTCGTGACATCGCCGGCTGTGAGACCAAGATGCCTTATCAGCTGAAAGCTGAGTGGTGCTTCAACGCTGAGAACAAGGTAGAACCTCCTGGTCCTGCTCAGGTGGCAGAGTTGACCCTCCCACCATGACACGGGATGAGCAAAGAGGGTGATGGCCACACAGGGGATGGGGATGAAGGGCTCTGCCAGCTCGTTGGGTCCTTCCACTCTTCTCCTCGTAGATGTTGATCAACGGGTTGGATTCCATCTTCGTGATCTTCTGCTTGCTGGAGTTCTGCGCCGCGGTGGCAGCTCTGGCCTTTGGCTACAACGCCGTTAAGCAGCACAACTACACCCGCATGGTGAGGGGAACCCACCCCCCGTCACCTCGGGGTGTCAGCTCCCCGTGTTTCCGTGGGATTTGGGGTTGGGGCATTCATGAGGAGCTGCCCCAGGCTGGTGACACATGGACAATCTCTTTTCATGACCCTAAAAGTGGGGTTTTCCCCTCTTTTTTCCTCTCCTAGATGCTGTAGCCGTGGCCAAACCCACAGCCATCCTGTTAAGAATCACTTCACGCCTCAGCCCCGCTCAGTCGAGGTACCAGAGCTGAGGGGTATTGCAAATATTTTCATAAAATAACCAAGATTTGATCATAAAAGAGTCAAATCCTTAAGTCTGGAACAGAAAACCACAGAAATCATTGAGTTTGGGGCAGAAAACCACAGAAATCATTGAGTTTGGGATGGATAACCACAGAAATCATTGAGTTTGAGATGGATAACCACAGAAATCATTGAGTTTGAGATGGATAACCACAGAAATCATTGAGTTTGGGACAAATAACCACAGAAATCATTGAGTTTGGGGCAGAAAACCACAGAAATCATTGAGTCTGGGGCAGAAAACCACAGAAATCATTGAGTTTGAGATGGATAACCACAGAAATCATTGAGTTTGGGATGGATAACCACAGAAATCATTGAGTTTGGGATGGATAACCACAGAAATCATTGAGTTTGGGGCAGAAAACCACAGAAATCGTTGAGTTTGGGATGGATAACCACAGAAATCATTGAGTTTGGAACAGATAACCACAGAAATCATTGAGTTTGGGACAAATAACCACAGAAATCATTGAGTTTAGGATAGATAACCACAGAAATCATTGAGTTTGGGACAAATAACCACAGAAATCATTGAGTTTGGGATGGATAATCACAGAAATCATTGAGTTTGGGATGGATAACCACAGAAATCATTGAGTTTGGGACAAATAACCACGGAAATCATCGTTAAGTTTGAAACAGACAACAATAAAATCAATTATTGGGTTTGAAATAGGTAATTAGAGAAAATTTGTTAAGAAATGACTAGATTTTTTCTATGTTTTGTTTTAAGAAACTAAAGAGAGAGTCCCGGACCCCAGTGACCCCGCTTGGAACCCCCCGGACCCTTCCCAGTTTGATTTGAATCTCCGGGATTTTTTAATCAACAGCAGGAAAATTAATTGGTGATTATTTTGGGATGGAGAAATATCGAGAAGTTTATAGAACTAATGAAAGCAACCCTTGTAAAAGTTACAGTTTAAAGGTGTATTTATGCAAAGGGGTTTCTGGGACAACGATTAATAGAAAAATGTGTATTAAAAATGAATCCTGTGAGCTGTGTAATTAATTCTGATGCTTAATTGGACTCATTAAGCAGAATGATCCCCCCTGTCTCCAGCGCTGCAATAAATAAGTGCTTGTTTAAGGTTATATTGGTGTTAAGGGGTTTATTTCCAGGTTTAGGTAACGGGGGGAG